TTGCCTCTAGAATGTGTTAAGTGTGTTTTTATTCTCTTATGAGAAGCCAAGCACTCCTTAACATAGGTTTCCTGAATTTAAACTGAGCTAAATTGAGTTAACCTGAGTTTGTTAATTTAGGTTGACCTGAGTTAAATCGGGTTGACCTAGGATTAGTTAAAGTTGATTTGGTTGACCTGAGTTTGATTGGATTGATCTAAGTTTGGCTAAAGTTGGTTTTGGTTAACTTGAGTTAGGTCGGATTAACCCAGGTTTGGTTCAGGTTAACTCAAGTTAGGTTGGGTTGACCCGAGGATGCTTTAAGTTTATTTGGGTTAACATAAATCAGGTCAGGTTGACACAGGTTCGGTTCAGGTTAATTTGAGTTAGGTCATGTTAACCCAGGATTGATTTAAGTTGATTTGGGTTATTTTGAGTCAGGACGGGTTGACCAAGGTTCAGTTAAGGTTAGCCCGAGTTAGGCCAGGTTGACTCAAAGTTGAGTTTAGTTGATTTGGGCTTTCCCAAGTTACGTCGAGTTGACCCATGTTTAGTTAAATATGAACTTGGTCGGATTAAACTTGATTCAGGGTTTAGCTAGATCAAGTTTCAGTTGAGTTAGACTTAAGGTAGGTTGTAGTTTTAGGGTTTGGTTAAGCCTTAATTAGGTTAGAATTGCGTGAAGTTTTCTTGGAGTTTAGGTTTTAAATTAGGTTGAACTAGGCCTAAATTGGTTTAGGCTTAGGTTTGGTTAAGTTAGGTCTAGGTTGGGTTAGATCTGGACCAAGTCATAATTTAGTTAGGTCGAAGTTAGAATAAACCTAAGTCTGTTTCATGTTGGGTTAGACCTAACTCAAGGCTAAATTTAATTAGTTCTAAGTTGGGTTAGACCGAAGATCGGTTTGAAGATTGAGTTAAAGTAGGTCAGGTCTACGTTGGGTTAGACATAGCTAAAGTTAAAGTTTAAAGTTTGGATTAAGCTAGGTCTAGGTTAGATTAGATCTAAGTCATGTTTGGGGTTTGAGTTGAGTTGACATAGGTTTAGGTTGGTTTGGCTCTGGGTTGGAATTGAGATTTTAGTTAAAATATGTCCAATTTAGGTTAGAACTAGAATGAGCTTAAGTCTATGTTTGAGCTAGACCTAAGTTATGCTTAAGATTGGATTTTGGATTGGGTCTAGGTTAGGTTTGACCCAAAATAAATTGCATCCAAAGTTAGGCCTGAAATTAAGGTTGAGCTAGGTCTAAGTGTGGTCGAATCTAGGTTGAATTCAAAATTGAAATTAATTGGATTACATCTAATCTGTGTTAGACCTAAGCTGAATTTGAAGTTGGTTCATTAAGGAGATTCCATATTGATTAACCTCTTAATACCTTCAATAGGAAATGATCCTAAGATTTTCTAAATTATTTTTTGTGATTAATCTAGGTTTTGGATACAACTCGATCTAAAAAATAAAGTTTGCATTTTTACAATTTTACCCCTATTGTACTAATTTTGATTTAAAATTTTAAGAGGTGAATATTGTCATTTTAATATTTAGCGTTAGCATCTTAAATTTCCCTTTTAATTTTCATTTTGATTTATATTTTTCTAATTTATATTTTTTTTTTAAAATTATTTTTCAAAATAATTATAATTTTGATAGAAAATTAACCATTTTGATTTTAGGGAGGCCCTTTGACTTTAGAAAAATAAGGGAATGTCTCTAATGACAGAAGGAATAACCCCTAAAAATTTTATATTTTTATGTGTTATATTTAATTTTTTTATAATTAAAATACTCTTCGAGTATTTAATTATTTAAAAATTAAATATAAGTTAATTAATTTAGTTTTTTTATTATTTCTCCTCCATTCACTGAGTTAAGATGTATTTTTATTTTATTTTTTTAATTTTTCTTTGTAGAGATATGAATTCTAGTTGAAATGCTTTTCACGCAAGTGATGAGGTGGCATGAGGTGGCCCTCGGTTTGGTGTTCCACTTCGTGCATTCCACTGCTCCGGTTTAATCTCTACTATTTGTTTCAAAAACACGAGAATGGATGATATTCATTCATCGTCCTCGTAGGACAGAGAACAGAGAACTGTCTACACTCAAATACACGAGAATGGCCATCTTCGTTCGTAGTGCTTTTTTCCATTTCTATGAAGAAGAAAGCAGTTGGCCATCTTCATTCGTAGGGCTTTTTTTCATTTTTGTGAAGAAAAAAGCAGTTGAGTATTATTTTACTTTGAGTTTTGAGAGTTGTGTGAGAGAGAGATTGAGTCTATGAGAGAGAAAGATCGTGGAATGATTTTCGTTGTGTCGAAAGTGTTGTATTGAAGGTATAATTGCTTGGTTGTAAGTTTTCTCCTTTTTTGTACTTATTTTTCAGCCATGATTGAAATAGAAGATTCAATGTTTTGTTGTCTTGTAGCACGTGGCTAGATCTCCTTTATGCTCTTATGATGTAAGGTTTTGATGTTTCTCGTTGTGTTCTTACTGATTTTTTCAGTAAACATCATTTTTGTGGTGATTTCTTCATGTTATTGTGTTAACTTTTTGGAAGAAGTTTACTCTTTATTTAGTCAATTAAGGTATTAAAAATTCGTGTGATCTAGGATTTCTAACTATCGTCAGTTCAAATGAGCAGGTTATCATAAGTTAACCTAATGGAAATGACATATTCTCATTACGGGCTTGCAAACAAGAAAAGAGATCCGAAGGGTCCAGGGAAATGATGCATGGTTAAGACCAGATTAAAAGAATATTGTTACTAGTTAGCAATTATCACATAGGGAAATTCATAGGAACACAATGAGAGAAAATTACACCTAAGTCACAGGAGCATGAGCCTCATGCATCTGAACTATAGGCTTTTACTCCCTGTTGTTTCCCTTCTTGTTGTCTGCTTTGTTTTATATTTTGTGTAGGATCGTAGACATTCACTCGTAAACGAAAGATCATGTCAAACTAGGGTCAGTAGTTTAGTAAACTGAGGATCCCCGATAGAAAAGTTTTTAACTGTTTCCTTGTGGAATTGATACGTGAACTCTAATATATATATATATATACATCTATATGTAATACATCTATATGTATATATATATATATATTACTTGATAGGCATACTTGTGTAACTGACCGACTTGTCTCACAACAATTTCGGCCATCAAGCAACTCATACGTCATCAAGAAAATTTGCCACTTGGCACGAATCTCAAGGCATTTTTTGGGCAAAAAAATTTAAACCCAAATTAAAATCATCCAACTCCAATCTCAACAAACTAATAGTCAAACTAACCTGCTCGACAAGAATCCATCACACCAAAATTGGACCAATCCGAGTCAAATTAAGTTCGGATCAAGCTATTAAACCATTTTTTGAAGCTTTTGGTAGTTAATTTAATGATGAAATGGATTCTAAATCTACAAGTTTATAATCAAATCAATCATCTTGATGAGACAAATCCAATGAACCTTGTATTACTCAATTTCGACATCATTAAGGCACTAAAATGTCCCTAAAATGTCATATGATCAAGGAAATCGTTCAAGCTTGTCTGATGTAATAGTCCAAATTCCTATCTTATTTACAGAGCAGTCCACTCCTAGAATCTATAAATAAAACCCTACTCCTTCCATGAAAGGGGACTAAGGTCAAGAGCTATAGGTAGACCTGAGCTAGAGGAGTGGAATTCGAGAGTCATTTTGAATTCGAAGACCAAGCGATCACTCCAATAGATGTTGAACACTATCGACCACCCTCGTCTGCCACCGCTAGCCACCATCAGCGGCCCCTCTGCTAGTCGCCATGGTGGACCCTGCAAAGTAATGATGTATGCCATGTACAACAATGACATATTTTGCAATGAAGTCTGACAAATTAACGGCGTACGTTGTGAAATAACGAAACATCTTATGAAGCAATGTAGTGTCCTGAACAATGTACAATGATATACCCCGAAGATAGTGCATTGAAATTCCAGCGATCACTCTGGGTAAAAACCGCTCTCGACCTTTGTACAACGAACTTTTCTGTGTACTAATGGTGTACTTGGAAGGAATTTGTAACTATTTCTCGTCTGTTGGACAAGATTCTATATTTATACTCACAAGCATATAGTCGATCATTTTGACTATATTAGAACCCGTGATTTTTTTCTTATTCGGGTTTTCACGTAAAACTTTTGTCTCTATCTCTTATTTCTATTCTCTCTGTGTGCTAAATTTTCGTACAACAGACAAAATAATGTCTACCGCTGCAAAAACTCTGGCATGCAACAATCCATGTATCAAAAATGAGATAAATTTCCTTTGAACTGTTGCTTTTTTGTTTCCTTTTCAATTTTTCCCTTTTTTTTTTTTTTTTTTTTTTTTTTTTGACAATTATCCAGATGCCCACTACCCCAAGTGCGCTGAAAAAATTTTGCAAGCATATATATATATATATATATATATATATATAT